CAGCAATATGTTCAGGAACCTCAACAGGCAGAGCCTCCACCTTGTAGTTGCCCTTGAGAATGTCTGCTCTTGCAGCCACTTTTCCAGGTGCAATTGTACGGATCTTTCCTTTTGCCATAACAGCAGCTTGGATCAAGGCAGTGTTCACTCCCATCACAGCAAAGGTCTGAAGAGCAACGCTGAAATAAGAATAAGGGAGATTTTTTTGTAAAACTGTTGCTGTACACATTATATCTTATCTTCATGAATGTAGCTGCAAAAGTGTACCTTGGTCTAGCTTCAGCTTGGAGTTGAACATCAGTCTTCTTAAGCTGCTCAAGAGTCATGGTCTCAATCTCCTCAGGGAGAGGTGGTGTAATGGTGGCCTGAACTAGAAGGGTCAATAGAACAACATCAACCTAAGAAGTGACCCCCTCACATCTGAGTAAAGGATCTAAAAATTCTAAGAAAAAAAAACATACCATTGACACTTGCAACAGCAACAGCAGCAGTGTACAAACTGAGCTCCATGGGCACACCAATTGCTGTTGGCAAGATTCGGCGCACTTCAGCCATGAGCAGGGGTTTGGCATACTGCAAGGCAATTCCTTCCTGCAATGCTTTAAGTGCCGCCTTCAACAGTTCACGTGGTTTGGGTCCAGTCACAATCTGGGTATAGTGTTTATGAGAAACTTAATTCTAATTGTGAGAATTTTATGTGAGACAGATCTCAAAAAGATATGGTAATGATAGACTGGACATAAACTACAACACAATACCGGTATTGCTTCTTCAATGACTGTCTTGTCAACATTGACAAAAGCCACTTCTTGTCCAAATAATTTGATGTAGGCTGAAGCCAATGGCTGATTGGTTGGCAAGGCCTTCCAGTTTGCAAGCTTGAGGGGTTAAAGAGAAGTCATATATTTTGCCTGTCATGTTTATAATATTTCTTAAAAGTAGAAAATGATACAGTACACTGGATATGAAAACTTACTGCTCTCAGGGTGCGCTTAATCTTTGTGATACGGTCAACACTTTCATCTGCAGCAGGAGATTGCAGAAGAGCCTCCTGGAGTCCTTCAGTTCTCACACCAATCTGTTTGAGATAATCAAATGTGTGAAGGCTGAAAACATTTAAAACCGTGAAAAAAAATATATACAAATCTTGGTTGCCCCACCTCTAGAACATCAGCAGCAGCACCAGCCAGGTAAGCACGTGCTTTAGCTACTACAGCTCTGGGCAGGATGGTGGCAGCATCATTGATCATGTAAGCACTACCAGCAGCTCCAACCATAAGAGGAGCTGCACAGGAACAGAGGCAAAATGCAGTTATTCCATATTTCAGTGTCAGGAATTTTTTATACACATTTTTAGAAACACCCAGAACATAACTTTTTAGTTCTCTTATAAAAATTGTAAGACTCACTATGATAGAAGTCCAGCTGAAGGGCTCTGCAGAAACGGAGGCTAAGCCTGTCCAGCTTGGGGCTCATGAGCTTGATGGCAACATTAGCTGCACCAGCACTGAAATTGGACAACCATGACTACCTCTGGCATGTGGTCATACGATGTGGTAAAGAAAAATATATGAACAATTTGTTGTACTTACACAGCTGCCATATCAGGAGCAGTGATTCTGGTCAAGGACTTGATATGAGAATAGGCGAAGCTCGCAACATGCATATTAGTCTCAAGCTTCAAAGCACCAGCAAGACTGGAGATGAGAGCCACTGATGGCTTGGTCTCAAACAACACAATACAAGCAACCATGCGCACTTCTGGGTGGAGAGCTCTGTCCAATACAAGCTGTAGGTCCACTGGCTGAACCTGAATCAGAAAACAAGATTAGTTCATTTTTGGAATAAAATGTGCATAATCATGTTTTATTAATTTCTACAATGTCTGACACTTACAAGTTTGGGCTCCTTCTTGGCAATGTTCCTCAGGGCCAAGATGGCATCAACCTGTATCCTAAGGGGCAGAGAAGTAGCTGCAGTTCTCAGTCCAGGTAGGAGCTTCATGATGGGTTTAAGACTAGCAGGATGACCAGCATTGCCGAGGACTTTAAGAGCCAAAGTGATTTCAGGAATGTCATTCTTGGAAATGGCCTCTGCAGCAATCTCATGAATGGGCTGAAGAGTTTGAGGCACATACAATTAGACAAATATTAAAGAATAAATCATTGGTAGAAATTTAGAGAGTACTTGATATGTTTACCCCGAGGAGCTCAGCAGGGCAAGTGGGAACTGCAACACAGTGCTTGGCAATCATGGAACCATATCCAAGCATTACGACTTCACGCAGAGCTGGGATTGTGGCAATTTTCTCGTGCAAAGCCAAACTCTGTTCAGCAAGATACAGAAATGAATCATTTGATTTAGGCAAGATTTGAAGAACAACATTTTGAGTATATTAAGATGTACCCACAGCTGTCAACTGGATGGTTTCCAGATCAGCAGTGACCATTTGCAGAGCAACCACAAGAGCTTGAATGAACTCTGGAATGGTAAGTTCACCAGCCAGGAACTTCTCCTTTAATAATTTTACAATGACTGGTGTGCCAACAGCAGGAAGAGCATCCAGGAGCCAGCGCCTACCAGAATCATTGTTTAAAATATATACATGCAAAAATGCTCCTGTATTATATTCCTATTAACGCACTGTTCACAAATTGTACCTGTAAACTGGTTTGTCCTTGAACTGAGCCCAGATAGCCTCGATGTTTTCTAAGGTGGCAAAACGCAGAAGCTGGATGAGCTGAACAAACTTAAGGGGAGCATCATCATGGACCATGGCCACATTGTTTGCAACAAGGTGTTTTAGGATTTCGATAATCTAGAGAGAAAGAGCAATGCTCAACTGATGTCTTCAGCATGAATCAAGGGCTTAAAAGATTTTAAAGATTTTAATTAAGGAATTATACCTGGGCTGGGGCATCACTGATCTTCATGAGTTGAATGGGAGTCTGAAGAATCTCAGTTGCAAACTCATACTGCAGGGATCCACGGGCCAAGTAATCAGCTTTGATTGGAACAACAGGGGTCTTCTCAATCTCAACAAAAGCCAAGGTTTGTCTGAAACAAATAATTATTTCTGAAATTTTAACTTAAGACTGGAATACACTACACGATTTTTGCCCCGATTTTCCAGTTTGGTTAAGTTGCCGAAAGTTAGCCAGTCTGCAGATATGAGTTGACAGAATTATTAGAAAATCGCGTAGTGTACGATGGTCACAGACTCTGATTTTTTTAGCTTCAGACTATGATTCCATCCTCTGTGGCTATTATAAAGTCGGTAAGTGTATAATGCCCAGCGTTTTAAAATCTGTTCATGTTATGTAGTGTATTCCAGCCTTTAAACTTAAAGTTAATGCAATTTGTTAAGAATATTGTTAGTTCATGTTTCTAATAGAAATCTCATAGATGATCAATCATACTTTGCTTCCATCATTGCCGCACCATGGATCTCATTTAAAGGTGAAAACTGATGCACTTCTTCAACTGTTGCCTCAGCGATTAGTACTCCGGCGGCAGCTGGTTTCATGATGTAGTTGTAAGTTGCAGTTTCAATCAGACTCTTGTCCCTCTGTTGAGAGAATAGTATGGGACCATTTGACTTCTGGCATTTTAATTCAGTAAACATGTCAGTCCTTTCCGGTTTTCTTCATTACCTCTGTGCATTCAGCACACCTCTCAGTGTATGCCAAACCAATGTCCTTTATGATTTTCTCCTGGCAGTGGCTCAGATCCTTAGACTTGGTTACAATAATGTGGTTGGCCTTTGGATCCTCATTGATGACATAGTGGGTCCTGCACACTCCCTGAACTCCAGCCTTGAAGGACAAGTAACAAAAATGGCAGATTGCAGAACTCAAAATAAATTTTAAAAATGTAATAGGATCACTTTCTCACCTCTTGCAGCTCATAGATGTTCTGGGTCTTCTTGAGGTTGAGCTGAAGGATGTTGAGGATACCTCTTTGCAAGTTCATGACTGTAGGGGAGACTCCTGCAGGGGCAAATACCTTTCCAACCACACCATTTGCGTACTCAAACTTGATGGGAATCTGAAGCTGAGCAGCCAGTGCTGAGGTGAGCTTAGTTGCAGGAACAAATGGATCCTTGGGCCAAATGCCAGCATACTCATGGAGCAGAGGGTCCATGAGCTGTAAGGGGATGTTTTCAATTTAAAGGATTGCATCATTGTAACAGTAGAGACTAGCTGGAATATTTTCGTTAGTTGTGTTTTACCTAGAAGTTTTAATAGTCATTACCTTCATAAGGAAGGTGTTCTCGGTCACAGCACTGAGGAGAACCTTGCTGTTGACTTTTATACCCGCTCTGGCCAGACCTTCATGAGGAAGACCGCCCAAGAGTAGAGCCTCGTACTTGTACACATAGGTCTTATCGAGGGCAAACTCAGGAACTGAAAAGGTTAGGGTATTTTTGAGTCAGTTGTTAAGACCATTACATTTCAGCAGTAATGCAATTTAGGTTACCACTTAAAAACGAATTTTCCAAATCATATTACTTACCAAGGTTGATCTGTTGACTCGCTGAAAGAAACACACAAAACATATTTTCTTTGAATTTTTTTGTTTTCTTTAAAATAATTTTCAGTAGCTTTATCAAAGAGGTATAAAGAGAGAGATGGAGAAAATATATAAATATATTTTGACTTACCCACAAGGGCTACAGTCAGGGCAAGCACAACCGCTCTCATGGCTGATGGTTTGTGAAGAACTCTTCAGAGAAACAGGCCTTTTATACTAGTTTCTTGCTGACCAAGTATTAATTCTTAAATTAATTTTTAACAGATGCATTTAAGAAAGTATCAAAGTGTCAACAAGACAGAACTTTTGTCAACTTAATTGAACGTAAATATCAGTTAAAGGTTAGGTTACCCTGGCCTGTCATCATGTCATTCTTCAGGCCAATGTCCACAGTGAAATGCAGAGCATTGTCTTTTATATTTAAAAAGGTCGTATTTTCCCCAGTTTTGTCATATCACGTCATGTCGAAACAACATAATTACAGTTTATATATATATATAGCTTATGGAGTGAGGTATATTACAGCAAACTACATTTTTATTGTGTATTTTTTTATAAAAAATAAGATTTTTGTTAACCAATCAGGGTTGAAAGCATATCTGAGCTATCAGTTTTAGGTTAGGTTACCCTGGCCCTTAATCTAAAAAAATTGTTAAAGTCCATATTAGTTTATTTATTTTATTGAAAGACTGATGAAATAGCATTAGATGAACTTTGGAATTAGACGTGGAGTGATCCGTGGAAAGTTTTGTAATTTTAAAGCAAGTAATTTCTATTAAATGCATTAAAAAGATATTAGTGCAACCAACAAAAAAACCCACAAAGTATTCAACAGCTGTAGAATTCATTACCATTGAGCATGGCATCTCACACTTAAAAGCCCACAGTGATAGAACCCTGAAAAAGAAATACAATGTGATTCAAAGATTTAATAATATTTTCAGAGACTGTAAATAAAATCTTCCATCTTTTATAATCTGTCATCTAGTGAGATCAATTCATATCAGCAAGGACAAACCAATTTTAGCATAGAACTGACATCCAAAATAAGGTCTCTAACTTATTGTCAAAAATAACAAATAAAAAACAGGTGGAAGTACTTGGGGGGAAAAAATTAAACGAATGAAAAACAGGTGAAAGCAAAAATGCTCTGGTAAAGGCCTAATCTATTTCAGTGTGTTTTATGTTATTTGTACTATTACAGACTTCTGATTAAATTACTTAATCTATTACATACATACTGTAAAGTACAGCCTTTAAATTTATTGTACAGATTAATGAAAACAAAAAATGGCCTTTTTTGCAACAGTCTGATAGGACAAATATGGCGGATTTACTAGCAGATTTTAAACCAGCCAAAAAAAAAATGTTAGACCATCTCTAAGTATTTAAGCATTTGATCACTGAATTTACTATCCCTATATTTAAACAAAAGATTTATGGATGCCACTGACCAAAAAATAACACAGAGTAAAATTGAAGCCCAATTGGACTACCTTGATGAGCTCATGTTCATGTTCAAGTCATGGCAATAATTACAGTTAAGGTCAGAACTAATAGCCCCCTTGGTAAATATGAGCAAAGAAGGCTGTGAAAACATGTATCCTTTAAATATTGTTTACCGTTTTGATCTTCCATTCTAAAAAATTCCCAAAAATCTAATCTTTTATTGAAGTAAAACAATTGAAAATAGAAGGAACATCACATTATGAAATAAATCTTTTTCCCTAATACACGTTGACCACAATTATTATCCCCCTTTTTATTCAATACTTTATGCAACCGTCAAGATAACAACTCTGAGTCTTCTCCGAACACCTGGCAAGAGATCAGAGACCATTCTATCTCCAGATCTTTCAAATGCCGAGGTCCATGTTGGTGCCTCTCCTCCTCAGTTCACTCCACTTATATTTTATAGGGTTGAGGTCAGGGGACTGGAATGGCCATGGCAGGACCTTGATTTTGTGCTCAGTGACCCATTTTTGTGATGATTTTGATGTTTGTTTTGGATCATTGTGCTGATGATCCAACCATGGCCCAATATAAGATGTCTAGCAGAAACAGTTACTGTAGATTTTTTTATATGTTGGAATTTGATAGGATCCATGATGCCATGTCAAGGACCTCTAGCAGAAAAATAGGCCCAAAACATTAAAGATCCAGCAGTACATTTAGCTATGGGCATGGGGTGTTTTTTTTTTTTCTTCATCTGGCCGTAGAACACAGTCCCATTTGAAGTTCCAGTAGTGTCTGGCAACTGAATATGACTGAGTTTGTTTTTGGATGAGAGGAGATAATTTTTTCTTGAAACCCTCCCAAACAACTTGTAGTGATGTAGGTGCTGTTTGATAAATAGGCGTTCTGACCCCAAGTCTCAACTAATTTCTGCAGTTTTGTTGGCCACTCAAACTATCCACCTTTCCGTGCATTAGGACAATAGACACATGTCAACTTCCAGGCAAATTCATAACATCTCCAGTTGATTGGAACGTCTCAATTATTTCCCTGATGGTGGAAATGGGCATTTTCAATGTTTTACCTATTTTTTAACAGCCACTTTCTATTTTGTGAAGCTCAAAAATCTTTTGCAGCACACCAGAATTATATTCTTTGGTTTTTACTATTGTTATGGATGATTAAGAGAATTTGGCCTTTGTGTTACCTTACATTTATAATCTCATGTGAAACAGGAAGTCATGGCTGGACAATTTCATGTTTGTAGTCACCCTGGTGTGTTAAAAAATGTAACATTAATGGGAATATCCTTAATAGATATTTTATTCGTAATAATTTCTAGGGGTGCTAATAGTTGTGGCCAATATGTGCCCACCCCCTCCCTCCCTCCCCAGATTTATTTATTTTTACAGCCTTTTTTACTAAGAGCCTTCATTTACCAAGAGAGCTACTAATTCTGACCTTAACTGTGTATTTGGTATGGTCTCTAATATATCTCTATAGAAATTCAAACTGCTATAGTTTATTAATATTATTATTATTTTGAACCTTATTGTGAAGAGTGCAAAAACTGTTATGAGTATTACTTAGTGTTATAAAATGAAAGCAGTTAACTCAATTTCACTTGCAGTATATTTATTAGCATCAGACTGCATTACATTACATACTGTACATGACAACAGTGATAATGTATTCAATTAAACTGTCAAGGAATTCTCCATGAACACAGCTCCCATTCTCTTCTGAAAATGTCAAATGTAATGTCTTATTCTTCCTTGATATGTTTTTGAATCCAAGAGAGAATGTCCTCATCGATTTGAATGGAAAGGGTTCCGTCTGGATTGATGGGAACAGCGATGGGAAGAGGAATATCCATTCTTGACAGTGTCATCTAGTGCAGCGGGAACAAAAACAATTAGTTGTATTTTCTTGTTATATCTCTGTGTGAATCATACTTTAAAGGAAACTATTTCACCTCTGGAATCCTAGCAATGACATTCAGGGACCTCTGAGATGGCAAGGCCGCAGTCAGTTCGATCTCTTTGTCAGCGTTCGATACTCTTTCAAGTTTGAAGCCCACTTTGAAAGCTGCCATTGGGATGTGTTTAGACAGCCTAATTGGGACGTTGTACACAGATAATAACTATTACATCAGTGTCGCTTTCTACATTACTCCATACATTTGTTGTTCAGTGTTGATGAACATTACTTTTTGGCGTAGGTGGTGACAATTATTGGCAGCCTCTCCCATTCCACCTCTAGACGTGCAGCAGGGAATTCGCCCAGTACACCAGCCTCAGCTTTAGCAATGACTGCATACTGTTGGCACTCTGGACCCCAAGCAACCCTGGCCTGGAAAACAAATTTGTACTTACTTTGACATAAGAAATAAATCCAGACATTGTTTTTAAAAATTGCACTTCCAGGCTTACGGTGACTTTGTGCTTGCTCAACACGGCACCGTCAGCACAGATCTTCAGGTTGTCATTTTCAGCAATGGAAGAAACGACAAGCTGCACTCTTGCATTTGGCTTGTCAAAGTAAGCAGCAAGCTGGTAGCCCAGCACCTTGTGGTCAACTCTCACAGCACGGGCAAGGACAGCAAAAACAGGAGGAACAGCATTTCCGAGGAACTTGGCCTGAAAGCATTACCCATTAGAAACAATTTAATGGGATATTACCTTTGGGTTTTATTATGAACAAACAAATGACACTAATTGATTCACCTGTTTCTGGAGTTTCTCAAAGCTAGATGCAGTGCTTCCACTGCTAACTGCCTTTGAGGTGCCATGGGGTGCCATGTACTGCAAGCAAAAATATGTTCAGTAATAAGCAATAGACATTAATAAACTAAGGTTGTAATATTGACAATAGTATTTTTTGGTAGTTACTCGATCTTTGTGGAATTTCCTGAAAGGCTCCATGATGGTGGCAGTCTGAAAATACATAAAATGACTGTGTAAATAAATATATTTATTAATGACATATACTGGCAACACACTACATCCCACGTCCTCACCTCAGTCATACGAGAGCTGGACATGGAGGAGCTTGAGCTGCTGCTGATGATACGGCTGCTGCTGCTGCTTTCAGAAGATACACGAACATTTTTATCTTCATTCTCCAGGATTTCCCTCAGTTTCAACAGGAAGGCCTTTCCTTCTGGAGTCTCCTCATCAATGAGACTGATTTGTTTAAGGAGCCTCTCAGCAGCTCTAGGACCAACTTGGACTTCAAGCTCGAGTCTTTCAACTGCAGGACCTTCAGCTAAAGCCAAAACAACAGACTGTTAATTATCATTTTATCTGAAAATCCTTTCATGAATATTATCTCTTTTTGTAAGTATACCTCTTGCCACAGAGGCATGGGCTGAGTGCTGTCCAATTATGTAGAACAGAGGATCATTTCTGATAAAAGCGGCATTGTGAGAGTGCACCTCAATGCATCCCTTGATTTCAATGTATGGGACAGCAAGACAGAGAGTCTTGTGGAATGGAGCAGCAGCTCTCACAGGAGCCTCAGGTGGCATCTCAGAGGACTGGAAAGAAAAACAAAATATCAAAACTTTCCACTATGGAGCTTGAAGCAAATCTTGTTTCATGTGTATTTATAGCTTACCAAATCACCAGCATAAGATGTCTGGGAGTTTTGCAGGGACAACTCAGGTACTAAGGGAACAATCCTTTCAGCAGTGGGATCTTCAATGTTTCTGACCACAGCAAGTGTCTCAAAGCTGTCGGAATGAGAAAAGTAAA